TTTCAAGACTTCATTGCAAGGTATCCACTTTTTCCTTCCAAGTAAGAATGATGTGTAGGGACAAACCTATGAAGGTTTATTCTCAGAAGCGATTAAGTCTTTTGAAATATTTCAGTTGTCTAGAATTTCTAACATAGCCAAGCAATGTTTAGAATTACTCTATCTTTCATGTCAAGATTATTTTATGCATTTTTAAATTTCTTTTATTTTTTTTCTAGTCTCCGGAATTTGATTTATTCTTTATAAGTTTTTGATTCCTGCAAAGATTCAATACTTTAAAATTATAAGATTAAAGGATTCAGCAGCAGAATAATTCATGATTAGCTTTAATTGTTTCTGAGTTTTTCTGTTGAAAGGGCTTTTTCACATGCATTTAGTAGCAGACACATGGTCCCTATTTTCCATGCCTTTATGCTGGGACTTGAACACTTTCAAAAATTACTCTGTAGAGAAGGACTAGTCTAATTTATCTCAATTAAAGTCTACATCTGGAAACAATAATGTAACTTTTATTAACCCAAGTTAGCAAAAATAGTAGTCAAATTCTTAAGGTTTTTTTATTCAAATATAATATATACTTTATTATATTAGTTGAAAATGAATAAAAAGTGTACGGAGGATTTATCATAAATTATATACTTCAATCCTGTTGAGACAATAACATAAAGAGTTGGAAAATTTTTGCTTGATTTCACATTAGATATGAATATAGAATGTTTAGCAGATTATAACCATTTATACAGAACCACAGAATCATTAGGGTTGGAAGGGACCTCTGGAGATCATCTAGGCCAACAACCCTGCCAAAGTAACTTAGAGCAGGTTACACAGGAACACACCCGAGTGAGTTTTGACTGTCTCCAGACAAGGAGACTCCATGACCTTCCTGGGTAGCCTGTTCCAGGGCTCTGCCACCCTCAGTGTAAAAAAGTCCTTCCTCATGATGAGGTGGAACTTCTTGTGGTTTTAAACTTTTAGTTTATGGCCATTACTTGTTGTCCTGTCTCTGGACACCATTGAAAAGAGTCCGAACCATGTTACTGACATCCACCTTGGAGATATTTGCATGCATTCATGAGATTCCCTCTGACCCTCTCTTCTCCAGAGAGTCTCTCCTCATAAGAGAAATGCTCCAGACCCCTAATTGTTTTTGTGGCCCTTCACTGGACCCTCTTCCTGTCTTTGTTGTACTGAGGAGCCTAGAGTGGGACACAGTACTCCACAGTACTCTCTAGAGCCAAGTAGAGGGGTAGGTTAAAGCTCCCTCAGCTTGCTGGCCACACTCTTCCTGATGCACCCCAAGGTACCATTGGCCCTCCTGGCTGCAAGGGCACAGAACCGGCTCACAGTCAAAGTGTCATCCACCAGAATTCCCAGGTTCTTGTCTGCAGAGATGCTCTCTAGTAAGTCAGCCCCAACCTCTACTGGTACTTGAAGTTATTCCTCCCCAAGTGCAGGACCCTACACTTGTCCTTGTTGAACCTCATTAGGTTTCTCTCTGCCCAACTCTCCAGCTTAGCAAAGTCCAACTGAACGGTAGCACAGCCTTCAGGTGTATCAGCTACCCCCTCCCCCAGTTTTGTATCATCAGCAAACTTGCTGATGGTACATTCTATCCCTTCATCCAGGGAGTATGTAGAATAAAGCAGTATGTATTCTACTATCTGTTCTGTCACATGCTAGAAGCAATACAATCTACCAATTAATACTTGTACATCTAAACAAAATATCTTGAGATTTACCACCAGAAATCATAATTTTCATCTTCTCTCCATCTGGGTGTGAGCCAAAGACAGTACCTGGGACATTCTTTGAAAGAAACTTTTCTGAATGGAGGTCATTTAGACAGGTTTTTTTTTTTGTTTGTTTAAAAACAGATTTTTGTATTTAGACTTTTGTTCAATTTCCCTTCAAAATTAAGTGACCACCTGTAGCTTTCAATTCCTCTGACTGAAAATACTGAAACTATTTGTGTGGGTAAATTTTGAAAAATTTTATTTTTCAAAAGCTTCTTCACTATGTTGCTTGCTGCAGACATACATGTGGATATAGAAATACAACATCGTTGCCTCTCATGACACCATTATAATTTTACTATTAGTTCCCTGCTATAATGTAAAAAGATGAGAGAACATATATATATTATTAAGACAATACCATTTTTCTTTTCTTTGATTCTTTCTCTCACAGATTTCTGTCCCAGCTCAAGCACGCAGTAGAAGAGCATTAACATTCTTCTGGTTTTCTGATTTAAGATACCCACATGAGCTAGTCTCCAAAGCTTTCAAGCAGCATAATACACATACTGAGTAAGGGAATTGCCTGACAAAGCAGTTTTGAAGAAACCACATCTTTATATCTCAGAAAGAAAAGTGTGGAGTTAAACATGTAGGGTAAACAGCCTTCTGTAGTGCCTGTATCCAGACTGATCCTCAAGCACTTATAGTACACTAACAGCCCTGAACTTCCAGAGCAGGAAGTAGGGCAGGAGGCCAAAGGCTGGTTTATGTCACTTAAAATGTAGCCATTGAATGACTCTAGCTGTTTGAGTGTTTGTCTTGAGTGTAATTCAAACAGCCAAACAGTTTTTGTAGCTTGTCAGGACATCTACAGATACTTTGTTCTTTTGCAGATGGAGCTGCTGGAGCATTGCTAAGGTAATATTTTATGCTAAAATTTATCAACTATTTTTAGTTTCAGTATTTCAGTTTGAAGATGATGCATTTAATATTCAACATCTATCTCACAGCCCATGTTTCCCCTTCAGTGTGTGCAACCTGTCACTAACGTGCTCCTTAGTTTATTTTTCTTTTAATTGAATGAACTAGTTTCAACTAAATTAGGCCACCTCTTTAAAAAAAAAAAAAAAAATTAAAAATTGAAAGATGTAGGCCAGTCTCTGAAGCAAAACTGTTTTCAGAGCAATGTGTGCGCTCAGAGAGGATGAGCAAAAACCCATCCTTGTTCAAATAAGAGTATTTAACTGTGGATATACAAAAAGGCTAATAATTTCACAACTATGCACATCTGACTTAATAAAAATATAAAACAGAAACAGCAGAGTATGTGAATTTGTATACCGTCTTTTCATAAAACCTCATAAACTTCTTTCCTCCTGGTTTTCACTAATGAACAGTAACTTTGTTACTGTCCCTCAGTGACACTAGATGGCACTTCAGAGTAGTGGTGGGATCAGAAAGTCTCTAATATTCTCTAGCTATTTTACATTTGACATTAGAGATGTGTTAACGTTTGCTTCAGACAAAAATAATTTCTCAGCTTTCTCTTATTTTTTTTAGAAAATGCTATCTCTTTTTAGAAAAATAACAAGCATAAGCAGAAATAGATTAAAACAGAGAGGTTCGATAGCAGCTCAAAAAAAAACAAAACCCAATAACCAAGTTATGGGCCAAAGTGCTGTTGCCAACCTTGTGCTTAGAACATTTGACTTTATGGAGACAACTGAAAGAAATCTATAGTCCTGGAAATTAGAGCAACACATTGATGTCAAGAATTTAGGAGGTGAATCCAGTCTGGAAATGAAATTAGATTTAATGTCATTTATACATCAGCAATCAAAAATATGATGACTGTCCATAACCTGGTTCACTATAGGAGAAACCAGCCCAAAATGGACACAACCTTGCCTTCAGGTGCTTTTGGGCTGCACTAGGAAACAAGAGTATTGTTCCTTATATATTTGAGTACTACAGTTGTGACCATTTACCATTTTCATACTTAACAGAGAAATGTTGGGCCCAAAGGGATTCTACTTTAGTTCCCTTATTTCTTTCCTCCCAGCTGTTTATAGATTTTGTTTGTTCTTCTTTTCTTTCTTTTATTTTTTTCCTTTTCTTGTTTTCTTTTTAAGTGGGAGAGCCATCTGTTCTATATTTATACGAAAAGCTGTTTTAAAAGTACTGGGCTTCCCGCTTCTTTGAAGTCTTTGCAGATGGTGTGTGTGGATAGGGTCCCATCAGTCAAACAGTACTGGTGTGGCTGCACAGTTTATGGAAACCAACAGTGTGTTTACCTTTCAAATTTTTTGTGATCTTGCTTAGGTCTCTTGTTATAGGATTTGCTTATTCTGTTTCATTGAGCAAGACTGGGAATGAGGAAAGCCCTGCTATCTTTATAGCCCTCGTTTATTTGCAGGGAATGTATTTTGCGGGAGGGGAAAACTTCAGCAGCACGCAGGAAGGAGTAGAGAACATATCACGGGTATTATGGAGGACCAGACTCAGATATTTTCTTCTGGACCTTAAGTTCCTTCTAATTTGAAAGCAAAGCCTTAGTATAGGAAATTTTAAAACTATGGATGGAGAAATGGAAAGCTTGTGAATATGAAGCTTTATGTAATATGTAATTGTTATTATTTGTTGTGTGAATGTCTTGCTGTAAGTTGTACCTGCCTCTGCTAACTTGAACCAGGCACATGCAAACCCTATACTTAAAATGCCCTTGTTCTCTCTTGAAATGCCAGTGTGTAGTTTTTCTGCATGAAGACTCTGTCTGCACAATAGCAAATATCCAACCAAGAACCAAAAGAAAATAATCTAACTGATGATATTCTGGAGGGTTTTCCCTTCAGTGACAGAAAGAGCTCATGTACTGTTTGTTTTATTTAAAAATAACACTCTGAAAATGTGAAACCCAGAAGAAAAAAACAGAGGCAAGTGGGAGAAATCATTGGCTACTATATGTAGAATACAGCTAAGAAGAGTGCAAATATGCTTTTTCAGTGTAATGGCTTTAGTGAGTCATAATTGTTTCCAATTATTTACTACTGATTAAATGACAGCTATAAAAAGACTATATTTGTTTTCCACAGAAAACCCCAAATGTTAGGTATGAAAAAGTTCCTTGAGACAAAAGATTTTCACATAACTTGCTTTTACTTTAGCTATCACCATACCAAAGATGTTCAGTTTTCAAGACTTAATTAAGGTTCAGACACACTGTGTTATGCTATCAAAACAGAATGAAAGACAAACACTTTGGAGTTTGCCTGTATTACATTATTCTTTAATATAAATGACATAGAAGTTTTACAAATTAGAGAGATTGACCTTGGAGTATTAAGAGACTGCAGAAAATTCTTTTCAGGTGATGTTTTTATTGAGTATAGGTTTAGCTTTGTAGATTGACAGCAGAAATGTGCAGCCTACCTTTGATGTGCTTGCTACTCACTGGTATGGGTTGAAGAATCCCAATTTAAAGAGAGCTCCAAATCACTCTAAATAGATGTCCCAGCAATGTCCATATTTGCAGTTATTTCACTTCGTATATTTCTACACTTATGCTTTTGCATACAATCTAAATTCCACAAATTCGTCAGATGGAGGAGCCTGCATATGTCTACTTTACAATTAAAAACTTTGTTTAAACAACAAAAACAGTAAAGGATGCTGAAAAATGTACAATGCAGTACAAATGAACAGGGAACTGTTGGGTTTTGTTTTTTTTTTTTTTTTTCTTTTGTTGTTGTTGTAGAAACATACATGGATTGATATCAATTACTAAACCCTTATACCATACTCTGCAAGGCAGCAAAGTCATTAAAACTGCTCTTGTGACTATGGTGAGAGGGATTTGCACTAAAGAAATTTAGTTATTGAGCTCCAGGTATAGATTACACATTTTTTACTGCAGACTACTGAATATTTTGTTCAATAGAATGATGTTAGGCTAATTTTGAATAACATTGCTCTAGAACAATGGCAACCTTTAAAGAATTATGTATACAATAAGATTTTTTTTTTTATTTTTCCCAAAATAATGGCATTAGCAACAACTTTATTTGCCTCTGCTAAATAGATACATTCAGAATTATCTTAGAGTTATAGTGGATATTTTTAAACCTCCAGGGCTTGAAATAAATTTAAAGGAGGTAACTCTCACCTTCTCAAGTCTCAAGATGATTTGAGTCTTTTTTCCTCTACTATTTTTGTGTGTATGTGGCTATAAAAATAACCTCATTCACTATCTTTTTTTTTTTTTCTATATCATAGCTTGACAAATATTTACTCCGAATCTCATATACAGTGGAATTTGAAAACCTGTAGCATTCAGCAAACTGAATAATGCCACAGAAAGCATGCTGGAAAAGAAGGCTGAAATAAGTCACTTTAAAGCACAGTTGACAATTCTTTTTGATGTTTTGCTTGCTCTTGTACATCTGTAATGTTTCATTTATTCTACATCAATGGATCATCTCCACTTTAAAGTGAAGTTTCTGGTATTTGGCGTTAATAGTTAGCAACGATTTTTTGAACAGGCCTGTAACAACAGATACTTCAGCTGAAACACAACCGAACCCCATCTTTAGACACCTATTTGTAATTTCCAATCTGTACTGCAGAACGTTCGTGGATACATCGGAAAGCAGAGGGCTGGATTTCCCAGTACTGCACAGGATTGCTGAAGAGACTCACACCGGAATAGCTAGCCTTTTTGGTGTTGTAGCCAAGGGGGCAAAAGTCGTTGATACCAATGGAAGCAATTTTGTTGTTATGAAGATAGACCACCTGAAAAGCATGGAAGTAAAGATGTGAGAATTAGAGCTACTGTGGCAAATAAGATAAATTATTTGATATCATTTATCAAATTATATTATTTGATATCATTTATAAAATGCTTGCTATGTGTTATTCAACATTATACCTTGTTTCCCAAACACATCTTTGATTCTGCTTACATTTTGAAATACCAGCAGTTCACTCAATACAATAGTTTCTATAGAAAGTGTAGAAACTGTGCAAGGTAATCTAATAACATTACCAACATTTGGTCATACTGTAACCAAAAGAGGAGTCAAATATGTGTAATTATTAATAAAGCACTGTGGCTCAGAAGCACGTGCTGTATACAGAGAATGCATTTGATGCTAATTAGCTTCTTTCCAGCTGTAGTGCCTTCACTCTCATGAGTGCAACTGTACAGGACTCAGAGCTAAAGTAACCACTAATGATGATTTAAAATAGCTGATGAATATTAGTCTGCTCCAGAGTAATGATTTCTTATGAATTTTCCCAAGCTACACACATGTTTGAGAGTCTTCATTCTTTGGGAGGTTTCTTCCCTGTAAAATCTTACTCCATGTGAAGATGGATTTTAGTTGCTTACAAGAGGCCATATTTTTGATATTCAGCCACAAGTACCCTAAAAATACTGCTGAAGTGAAATGCCTATTGTGTCTCTGCCCTCCTGAAGGCACAGTTTTGTGAGATAACAAAGGAAAGTTTTTGGGAAAGGTTGTAAAATGTCACTGAGTAGAAATAAAAAACCCCAAAAGTCAGCAGAAGAAATGTTCTTTGAAAGTATTTTTTGAGTAAAGAGGAAATCTAAGCACATAAACAATCTTGTATTCATTGTGGTCCCTAAGATATATGGAGACAACAAATGTATACCTCCAGTTCTATATACCTCCATAGCCACTTCCACAAAAATCATGAGTCTTCCTGTTGTATGAAACCTTTCCATAACAATTCAAGAGTTTATGAAACTTGCATCAAGTTGCCTTTTGCACAAATACTGAGTGTGTTTCTCTTCAATACTGAATAAACACACAAATACCATTTGGAACTATTGCTCTCTGAGGCAGTATGATAAACTTTACCTGGATATATTTGTGGTCACCCAGCCCACCGGGTACTCTGACAAGTTCATTGTTGTTCAGATGGAGCTCTCTCAGATGAGGTACATTGTTAAGAGAGCCATTCTCAACTGAAGAAATACTGTTGAAACTGAGACCCAATCTAGAAAATAAAACCAAACAATAACAATGAAACAAAACCAACACACATACACACCCCCAACAAACCAACAATGAAAACATGTCAAGCTTGCCTTCATAACCATCTTCCTTGGGTTGATTCTTTCTCTACATTACTGTTGTAGAACAGACCAGGCTAATTTTCACAATTATGTGTGAACTAGAGTCACCATGGAAAACTAGTTTAAAGAAATATGTTCAAATAAGCTTGGCATCTGATGTGAGCAATCATAATTATCATTATATCATTCAACTTCTGCTTATGGTACTGCATACTCTCTGAAGGCCTTTGAAAGACTCGAGTAATTTTACAAGGAGAATGAACAAAAGAACAGGACAAGAACTAGCCATCTACTGGAACTCAAGGACTCAAAAGAGAATGAGCAGTAGATCTACACCAAGTTCTCTCATGGAACATTTTACAGTTTAAAATACCTTAACACATCAGAAAAAGGCCTGTTTCTCAAAATTTAACTGTGCTTTAGGGTGCCTATTAGACTACTGAGCTTCAGTTGGCATGATCCAGGTTGTCTGATCCTGTCCTAATGTCTCTAAAGACTTAGATGTATAAATGAAAGCTGGTTTTGGTGGCTTGTTTCTGTGGTTCAAGGTGCACGCTGCCCTTAGATCATCCCACATGCTCCCCTGGAGTTCTCTTGTAGCTCCCTCCTTTCTTCATCTGCCTTCTCTATTACATCCAATCCTTCTTGCTCCTTGTTTACCAATCTATATCCTGCTGTACCTCTCATCTTTGCAAAAGAGGATTTCTGACTATGCTTAGGTTACTTCCTTAAGCACAGAGCAGAGAGTAGTGGTTTAAGACTTGGTGCCTGCTAACAGCAGCTTCACATTTCTACACCATGATCAGTAGAGTATCTTGTTTCTCCATAAAGTACAGCCATAACAGAGGCAGTCCAAGGTTAGATATTTTTATATTGGCACTTATTGTGTAAAACTTTATGTCTTCAGATGGACTTTCAACATGTCCATATGATGCTGCCTGTGGTGTTTTCCCAGTGTAAATGTGAAAGAGCAAAAAAACTCTCCCATGTAGGACAACTCGCACACTCCACAACCCACACCTCCAGTAAAGTTTTGGAAGTTTTCTTTATAATTCCGCTGAAGAATGTTACATTTTATACTAAGCCCCTGTTATAAAAAATAACTGACTCATAGTCCTCTAACCAATAATTATGGTACTTTTATTTTTTCATTAAAATCAAGGAACAGACTTCTTTTGAGCAGAGATGAGCCTGTGATCAAATATGAACAAAAAACTAAGATGAAATGTCTTATTTTATAAGCTCCAGAAAATTACTCTAAGCTTTATCACTTGGAATTGTCAGATCCAAAATATGTGTTACTATATACTTCATTGCATTAAGTTGCTGTCCAAGCTACTATAAATAGTGGTAAACTTAACTCCTGTGGCTCAATAATCTCTATTTAATTTCTGTTTTCTGTCTTCATTATGACACGCAGAATGATTAAGATGAAGATCCACGAATTACATCCAGTAATTTTACTAACAATCTGATTAACAGTCTTCTTGATCAAATAAATTATTTTTATACTAAAGCTTTAAATTATTACATCATAAAAATAAGTCATAGTAAAGGCCCATTTTACTCTGTTACTGTGTTTTGTGATATGAACGAATTCACAAATAATTCCATATAATTGTTCTTTGGGAATTCTATTTACATTTTCTTATAGTTAGAGAAACTTATAACAACATATTCACAGATTAGCAGAGTAAAATCATTCTGACATTGACACTTTTTGATTTATTTTTTTAAAATCATGTTCCTGGAACTTATTGGAGACTTACCTTTCTCTTCATAATTTTTTTCTTTCTGTTTGTTTTGTTTGTTTGTTTGTTTGTTTTTTAATAAATAAAACAAACAGTTTTCTTAGGCATACATCACTCATAGCTGAAAATAGATGGAAGGTTTTGTTAAGAAAAAAAAAGTTTTTCTTTTTTAAGTCGGTACTCAAATCCTTAGAAGCTTTTCCTGCTAAGTTATGTACTGCTTCAATGATGACAACACTCATGAAGCCCAGACTGATGTTTTCTAATTGTGTGTGTATGACAATTACAATTTCAACTAATATTTTATGTGAATAGATGAAACTATTTCATACTTTGCCAAGTTGGTGAGTCCAGACAGACTTTCAGCATCAATTTTGCTGATTTTGTTGCCATCAAGGTGAAGTTCAGTAAGGGATGGGGGAAGGCCTGAAAATGAGAACACCATCAAATTACTTTTGATTATACTGGATTGCTATCTTTTAAAAAAAAGGCTTGCATTATACTAAGGTCTTTTAGAGTTAAAAAAAGACTTTTACTAAACATGCCAAGAACATTTCATTGAATGAAACAAAGAACTTTCACAATCAGGGAAAATTAAAACAGCTAGTAACCATTTATTTAGCATGAAATAAGACCAAGCTCCTAAGGTCATTATAGAACAGTTAACTCTTGAAAAATACTCTTGAAAGTCTTCCCAGATATGACTTCAAGCCTTCCTGATTATGTAAATGGGACATATGTAATAGTGTAAGAGAAATAACTTTCATTTTAGCCAGACTATCCACATATATAAATATTTAATTATTTGGCACCTAGATATTTAACAAGTAACGGCAGTAGAAAATGCAATTGTAAGGATGGTGTACAATAACTTTAATGGGTTATGTTTTTTTTTTTTAGTTAGGGCACATACTAGTTTACAGATTCTATTTATCAGGAAAAAAAAAGGAAACATATTTTACCTATCTGAGGTCCCTCAAAGGAACATCCAAAACAGGAAATGTGGGAAGAAAAAAATAACAACCAATATTAACTTTCAAAAAGTTTTCAGCCATTCTAAAATGATCTGTTGGCTGAAGTATGAATAAATTGAATGGAATTTGCTCTGGATTGGAACCATTATTCTTTGTTTGTTTTATTTTTAATATATTACAATGAAGTTTTTCTTATTTCATAGCAATTAACAATTAAGCACTTTTAAAAAATACAAAGGTTACTATTTTGTATAATGTGGAACACACTGACAGTTTTTTTGGCTTCAAACCCAGATTGTGGAGGGCTGATTTTATACTTTTAGAATTTCAGTTAATTCTACATGAGTTCACATCTGCCCAATATTGATCAGGCTCAGAAACCAGAGTTGGAGATTAAAAACATTCTTCCACTTTATATTTCAGCTATGGAACAAGAAGAGCCAAATAATATAAAATGGCTTACTTTTCACCCTGCACCTCTCGTGGAACTTCTCATAACAGAGAGACAAAATTTTCCAAACTACTAAGTAGAGTAAACTGATCAAAAACCATAGTCAAGTAAAAAATAATGCAAGGACTGGCTCAAAAAGATTCCACAACATTTTTTCCCCAACTTATTGGAAGTCACTATAGTATACCTGTGCAAATTTCTGAAATATTAATTCAATTTCTTACCTTTTGGGATGCTAGTAATGTTGGTGTCTGCAATACGGATGTAGGAGAGCCTCTTCATCCCCTGAAAAGCTCCGTTTTCAATGCCTGAACTCTTGATTGGATTGGTGCCTAGTTCTGCCAACAAAACATGGTCATGAGCTGTGATGCAGTGTAGGTACCTATATCCTTCCAATCAAAACTAATTTGGAGGTACTATTTATTGGAGTGTTTCTTGGCTTTCTACATAAAATCACTGATTGAACTAAAAACATCTTGAAAAAATACTGAGTTGCTTTTGTTATAATTTCTCATGATCATACCTAAGACAATCACTTGATTCAGTCCATTAAAGACAGCTTTCCTCAACTTGGAGATGTCATTCTCATGAGCCCGTATCTCCTGAAGAGACTTTGGCATATTTTCCGGGAGTTCCTTCAAGTTGTTCTTAGACAGGTAAAGCCTTTCCAGTTTCTTCAGAGGAGCAAAAGCTAATGGGCTTATTTTGCTGATTTTGTTGTTAACAAGGATCAATGCCTGTGGAGTAATAATGAAGGAGATCTCAGATTATCACAAGGAACATTACTTTCAGAATGAAGCATTTAAAAATTCATATTATTTTCCAGTACCTTTTGGCCAATTTAGTGAGCCGAAGAAAATGCAATGCAGTACTAAAGAAAAGAGATTATAAACTTCTGAAACAATGAAAGATAAACATGCAGCTTCTGTTAGCATCCATAATTTATGCCCAAGAATAAGTACAACCCCTCCATTTGAAAGCTATGGTGAACAAGACAGTCACAAAACCCCCAAATATTATCATTTTTGTTTGTTTTTTTCTCATTTTGTTCATTCTGAGTGTATTTTTATGCCTTGCCCATCATCACAGCCATTCTAACCAGTTTCTGCTGAAAAAGAAACTCTATGACTCAATGCAGTGAAGGCACAGCTCAGCTTAATAAAAATATACATAACATCACATCACCTCTTTCCTGTTAGTCTTATAAGACTGCACTTAATTGATTTCTATCTGATAACAACCTTGCTTTTTGCAGAGATATGTTTTTGGTTTTTTTTTTGGCAAGAGCAACTTTGTATGGAAGGGGAAAAATCCAAAGCATCGTACTCCAAGTTCTGCAGTTAGGGGTCATGGACCATACTCAGTTTGCCTTCCATGTAGATGCCTAATCTAGTTCTCACCACTGTGATACCTAGACTCTGGGTAACTCTAAGCAAAGGAGCTTCCTATACAGCTGAGGGACAAAGGCCTCCATGAGAGCTCTGTTACTTGTAATAGATGGCTCTGCACGCCTCTGAAATTTTACTTTACTGCTGAGTCTCTTATTGATTAATCAACCACGACACAATAAGGGAGAAGAAAGTCCCATTACTGTCAGAACATAACACACATAATAGAAAGTATTTCAGATATGATACATACTTGAATGACACTTATCGTTCCATCTGTTTGCTATCTACGTAACAGACTTACAGTTCTGCATGTTTGTTGCAGTGAATTAGGTAGAATGGGCCATGTAAAGATAGATATAATATCTACTTATTACTACAGAATAGATACAGAGCATCTTTGTTCACTTCCTCCATTATGCTAGTTTCTGAAACAGAAGAAAAAAGTTGCTGTGTATACTATAGTTAACATTCAGAGCCTTTTAATACACTTTCAATATTTTCAGAATTACAATTTAGTCTGTTTCTTGGAGGAAAATGGAGCATTCAACTCAGCATTCCACAATCAGTCAATTATTAAAACAGTGGCAAAGCTATTAGCTATCTGTGACAGCACCTCTCTCTCATGGATACTGAAAGAGAAGTGAGAAGATAGTTTTAAATGGTGCCTGATGTGTAGTTTCCTCCTAATGTACTCCTCTTGAAGATCATCCTCAGCAAAGCAAGCAGTATGCTCTGTACATGGTTTCACTGAGTACATGTAAAGTGGAACATATCTGGTTTTAATTTTATATGCTAGCTAGAAATGATACATATTCAAGGGGAGGTAGAAGAGGTCACTCATAGTTCAGTAGAGTATTTCCTTAACAGTAAGACTCTCCCAAAATAAATAAGTTGGTCAGTGGAAGCCATGGCCCTAACTCTCTTTTTTTGAGACTGAGCTATAAGAACTGACATGAGAACATATAGGGTACTCGTCGGGTGTGGTTTCCTGATTCATCATTGCCAGAACTGTGATAGAAATGTAGATTCTGCCCACAATGAAATGCAACTACCTGTACAGTTTTAGGACATGGCAAACATCCCAGTTATTCAAAAGTGGTACAGTTTAAATTATACAGATTAGTCTCTTACAGCGCTTTATTGCAATAATTGAATGTTCTACTGCTAAT